GGGCATTGGATTTAGTCATTCTGTGTTTCATTAGATATCTTTTGGGCTTTAGATAATCTTCATTTGACATCTTATTCAATAACTTTTCTTTTCCTGCAATTTAAAAGAAAAACACGTTATTAGTGATATATTTATTCATATAAAATGGATAATAAAGATATAAAAGTGTAATAAATTGTGATGATCAACTTGCTTACTGGAAAAAAAAATAGTTAGTAATGAGGCACTCATCCTTCTTATATAGTGTAAACTTTGGTTTGCCACAATGCTTGACATTCTCATCCTTCTTATATAGTGTAAACTTTGGTTTGCCACAATGCTTGACATTCTCAATGTCAGATCATTAGAGACAAACCCTTGCATCGTATTTTATGCACTTTTGCAGTCTTTGCTGAATCATGATAAGATGGATGGACACGTTTAGCTTCAAATGGAAAAATTTTTAAATGTAAAAAAGTATTGTTTTTTCTAAAAGTAATCTTCAAATTGGGTGATTTTACAGGACAAATTGGAATGTTCAATTACTACATACCCCCCCCCCCCCCCCCCCCCCCCCCCCCAAAAGCGAGTTATGTGTTCGCGTACCAACCATCTCCTAGCCAAAATTTTCGCTGAAACCCCAAAATATACTTTCAAACTAACATTCAAGGCACATGACTCATTTTATTAATATTTAGGTCTAGTTATAATAAAAAGAGTAAAAGCATAATTTTATAGTAGAGCTACAGATGAAGTCAATAAGAATATAGAATGGATTCTACTAAAGTTAAAACTTGAATAAATCTTGATTGATTTGATATGAGAAATTTATATATTGATATCTACAAATTAGAACTTTAAATCATTTAAATTCTCTTTGTTGTTACTTGAATTTAAACTGTCACATTGGTTACAGTCATCTTTTTCCCTACAGAAATGGAGTCACGACTTTGAGAAAATAAAGAGAGAAATGAACTGAACTGAGGAAAAAAAGGGGAAAAAATTAACGTTCTAGTATTTCATAATCCATCATGTAATGAATATTTTCCTTTATCTTCTTGCGTATGAACACTATTAAAAATCTTGGGTTGTTTTAGTTCTTAGTCCCACAAATCTTATATAATTTCATATAGTCCCTCAATTTTGTGAAATTGCTCATAAGTTCCTTAAATCCTAAAATGTCTTGCGATTTGGTCTTCCAAGAGCCAAAATACCCTTCAGCTTATGTTCCCCCAAAGTGGAGTTAATATGATCTTTGATCATAGTATATATATCTCGTAATTAGACCTTTACACCTATATTTTAATTGCTTGGATGATTGGTCATATATTAAATATTTATTGGATTACTAGTCACTTCTATATTTTTTGTCAAAGCAAATACGACTTACTCAATATGTCACAAGTTATTTTTTTCAAAAAATAAAACGTCAAATGCTATATAATTATCAAATACAAGTTACGCGATTCATCACAAATTTTCATTTATCTAAGTGATCAAGATATCAAACATAGGAATAACTCTGTTATGTCAAATGATCAAGACTTTTTTTATGTCACTAGAAGTGATTAACAGTCCAGTTTGTATTCAATTATATGACTAATAATCAAAGCAATTAAAACATAATTATGATTGTCTAATCTTGTAATAAATACAATGACCAATGATCCAAATTGTGTGGGACCAAATTGCAAAACTCCTTAGGATTTAAGAGACATATGAGCAATTTCAAATATGTGAGGGACTACTATCTAACTATTGAAGATTTGTAGGACTAATATCTAAACAGCCCTTAAACCTTTAATATTTTGAAAATACTCGCTCAAATCGTTGAAGTTGCTATTAGCTCCCCAAATCCTCATATCCTGTTACTATTATTATTGATTAGAGAGATTAATTTAAAACAATGTATGAGATTTGAGAAATACTAATTTCACTGATTTGAGGGTCTAATTTTGAGACGACTTATACAAATTGAGGTGACTTAGTACTTTTCATGATTCGAGAGACTGGTTTCCAAATATGAAAAATGTAAGGCACTCTGAAATAGATTCTAATAAAATAGTCCCCAATCATATTCTCAACTAAGTTTTTTTTGATATGAGTCCCCTATATCTTTAAGAGCAAGGGCAGCAACCTCTGAAGGAGCCTCTCAAGACTGACGTGGCCGTGGAGCTTGGCAGCCCTCCCTCCAGCAAACTCCCAACGCCTCCCAAGCCCCTCTCCTAAGGCTGAGCTGGCGTTGGGGAGCTTCCGAACTCCCAAGCGCTCCACAAATTTGTGGAGCGCTTGGGAGCTCCCAACTACAGCAGAATTTTATAAAAACCTCCCTTTAACAAAAACCCTTACCAGCGATGATGTCGAGGGTTTGGCGGCAACGATGATGTCGAGGGTTTGGCGGCGAAGAGGCCTCCGACGCCGTTGCCAGCGATGATGTCGAGGGTTTGGCGGCGAAGAGCAGGATGCAGGTCGTCGTCGAAGGGTGTGATGACGTCGTCGCCGAAGGGTGTGCGGTCGTCGTCGCCGAAGATGAGGAGCTGCGGAAGTGAGATTTGGGTTTGAGATTTGAGATCTGAGGGTTTAATTTGGGGATTTTATTATCGGGTGGCGTGTTTGTTTGAGAACTGTTGATATTTGGCATAAAATAATTATGTATAATGTTTGAGAACCTATTGATAGTTGATATTTTACCGTTGAGTTGAAAGAGCCGTTAAAAAAAAACTAATCTAACAACAATTATTAATGATATATTTATTCATGTAAAATAGATAATGAGGGTATAAAATTGTAATAAAATATGATTATCAGCGGTCCGAAAATTGGACTGTCCATGAGGATAAGCTTCTTGTGTCTGCTTGGCTGAACACGAGCCAAGACGCCATCCAAGGTACGGGGCAACACAAAGATAAGTTTTGGCACAGAGCTAACGACTACTTTATCCAATACTCCACCGATCCAACGAGTCGCACACCAAACCAAATGATGCACCGTTGGTCAACGATTCAACTGTCGGTCAACAAGTTCTGCGGGTGCGTTGCTCAGATTGAAGGAAGACAAAGATCTGGTACGGGAATTATTGACCAGGTAAATATTTAACTTATATGTTTTTATGTAAATATTTAACTTATATGTTTGATTATTCTAAATTTAACTCTTGTGTAGACTGCAGAAGTAAAAGAATTATACCAATCCCTTTATGGTAAGCCATTCGTGTTTGACCATTGCTGGGTTGAGTTGCGTCATCACCAAAAGTGGAGCCAACAAATGGAAAATTACAATAAGATTCGATCACAGCCGAGAAGAACCACGAACTCTGATTCCTCACCAAACAATTCCATGCCAGCGACCCCCATCGAGTTGAACATTGACTCGGATGATGTTATAGCAAGGCCTGAAGGGAGGAAAGCGGCAAAACTCAAGAGGAAACAAAATGTGGAGAAATCTGAGTCCGCTAAGTCCATTATGGGAGAGGCTTTCGCGTGGATGAAGCAAACCAACAAAGAAAAAATGGAGCTAAAACAGAAGAAACAAGATGACGATATCATGAAGATCGATCTCTCAACACTCAATTGAGTTCAACGTCAATACTTTGAAATGCGTCAGGCAGAGATTTTGGAGAGGTGGATGTCTAAGGGTTCTTCCTAATTATCATATATTGTACTCGCATCGCATCCTTATTAGTTCTTCCTAATTATCAATTAGTATCTTATATTAGATTTATGATTGTACTTGAAGTTGAAAAATTTGGCATTGAATGAAAACAACTACTTTATTAAAAATGAAATTGGCGTAGTACAACAACTTGAACTCCTTTTCTGAAATTACATTAGACATAAAGAAACTTAATCCTCGGCGATGGATCCCTTAAGCTGCCACAGATGCTCGATCAAATCATTTTTTAGTGATTTGTGTGTTTGCGTGTTCCTGATCCGATGATGATTTTGGATGAACTCAGTTAGAGGCACCGTCTGCACATGAGAAGGTTCAACGACTGGTACCGAATAAGTAAAGTCAAAGTTGTTGTCCAATTGACAATCACGTTCATCTTCAACGATCATGTTATGCATTATGATACAAGCTGTCATGATATCTTTCAGCACACAAGGTTGCCAGAAACGTCCTGGTCCACGAACAATCGCAAATCAAGCTTGCAACACGCCAAAAGCTCGCTCAACATCTTTTCTTGCGCTTTCTTGTTGTTGAGCAAAGTACTTGCTTGCAACACGCCAAAAGCTCGCTCAACATCTTTTCTTGCGCTTTCTTGTTGTTGAGCAAAGTACTTAGGCATCAGTCGGATGACGGTCAAAGTTTGCGATACCTCGAACTTCGTGCCCAACATCGAAGACCGCGGGTTACATCGAAGACCGTGTGCGTTCCCTCAAAAGCCGCGGGTTACCTCGAAGACCGTGTGCGCTCCCTCGAAGACCGTGGGTTGCCTCGAAGACCGTGTGCAACGGTTAGAAATAAAATACAAGAGGTTTAAATATAATTAAAAGTAATGGGTGAAATATTAAAATAGAAGAGGGGTTTTTTGATATTGTTGGAGCTCCTAAGTAGGAGCTTGTTGGAGCTCCATAAAAGAAGGAGTACCAAGGTATAATTTGTTAATTTTTTATTTTGAAAAGCTTGAGAGCTCTTGAGAGCATGCTGACTAGGACTCCTAACTGGGAGCTTGCTGCACTTGCTCTAATACTCCCCAAATCTTCATATTCAAAATACTCCCCAACCGTATTCTCAACTAAGGTTTTTTGATATTAGTCCCCAGTTCTTTAAGTATTTTGACTTTGTCCCTATATACTTTGACTTGGTCCCCCAAATCTTTTAACTATTTTAAAACCAGTCCCTCTAGTTTGCACAAATTTGGAAGATTTTGGGACTAATTTTAGAATACTTAAAAGCTAGGGACTAATTTATATGAAGAATTTGGGACCTACTTTAGATATACTTAAAGCTTGAGGAAGTAAAATTGCAAAGTATGACGATTTGGGGTACAATTTCAAATTAGTGACGACTTGGGGACTGATCTCGAAAAACCCCTCTCAAGTAAAACCCTTGCTCATCCCTAAACCCTAATCCTCTTCCTTCCTTCATCAGCGCTGGGCTCAAAGATGCCGAGAACGAGCACGGTTGAGATCCCCGGTTGCCCGCCGCTGCGAGCCCTAACCACCGACGTCCTCGGCCTCGTCAAAGGTAACAAATTTCGTTAATAATCTTCGCCTTTCGTTAAAAATCTCAACTTTGAATTTTTATTTTCGTTTTCATTTTTGTGCGGGATATTTCATTGATTGTCGCTACAGTTGTCGAAGCTCGAGGGAAGGCGGCGATTCCCAAGGTCGTGGAGACGTGGGGCCCACCCGACGCTTCCCGCGGCATCCTGGCTGCGTCCTTTGCCGATGACCTGAAGCGACCGGTTTGTTTTTATGATTTCCTTGATTCAAATTTGTTACTTCAACTGGAAATACTCACAATCTGGAAGAGTTTATGTCGGTTGAAGTAGTGTTAATCGTGATAAATTATATGAACTCATTAAATAAACTCGATTTTCAAAGGGGAGCAAGAGATATGAGTAGATTGGGTTTTTGTCAAGTCAAAACAAGTTGATTGGGTCAATAGCGGAGGTGTGCCTCTCTTCCTGAATCACCTCCTTGTACTGCTAGTCGTTGTTAATATTCTTGTAATTATGAATAACATGTGGAATTGCACAAATTTGGGATAAAAATGAGAAGGAAGGCGATGTGCTTTGGAATTATTCGTTGTGACACTCTCTGCTTCTCATCCATTTGCACAATGTCTTTGACTTCTATTGTTTATTCTTTCAGTAGAGTTATATTTTTCTTAGGGCACAACCACAGTCTACTAACATCCCAAAACATAGATTGTGAGCATTATAAATACTAGTTGACATGGGCTTTAGTTGCCCTAATGCTGCAATATTTCCCAAAATATACAGGCAACAATAGTAGTAAGTAGACTGTCGATAGAGATCCTCTACATCCTTGATTGTAGAGAATATCTACATCTCATCAATCAAAACTTCTCGCTTAATGGACACCATAAATGATATTAATTATCTAAATAATATATAAATACTTTTAATTGTGGGACCCATTGAGATAAGCCAATGATACTAGCCCACCTAACTAATTGTCAGTATTCTCTACAATCAAGATTGTAGAGAATCTGGACCCATAGAATGTGTTCATTACAGAAATCCGAACTAATAAGTTGACTTTTAACTTTCTTATGTTGTGTAATATTCGCTCAGTTACTTTAGCAGCACTTGAGATTTGTTCCATGAACAAGCAACTTTCAAGGCTCGAAGTAAATACTAGGATCCATTTAGTCAATATTCAACTGATCAACTCACGATGCAAATTTAGGAAGTCAATATACTTTTGGCATCATATAGCACTATTTGAATGGTTCTTCCCCTTACTTCCTTATCTTAGATTGATAAGAGAGTGAGGCATCACTGGAAGGAACTTCTTGTTTTCTTTTTGTTCATAAATTTTTTGATTAATATGGATGAGAATAGGGTAGCTTTTATTTAGTATTTGGAATTACAAGCATGACACCTGGATAAAAGGAGTTAGGAGCCATGCCCAACTAAGAAATTTAGTTTCTGGCAAAGCTAGAGATGGCCTTACTCAACTCAAAGGCGACATTCTTATCCATGTCCAAAAATAATAGATCATATATGAACTCCACCTGGACTTCTTGATGACATACAAACATGGATCGTTGATCTTTACAAGCTCAATGATGATTGCTTGCTGCAGACGATTTGGCATATAATGTAGTTTATGTCATATTTAGGCATTTTCATTATGTTTTTTTAGTATATCGATTTGGCCCTTAATAGAGCTGAATAGAGAAAAAAGATTCATGTAAACCCAAAGATATGAAACTTAGTTGTGCTATTGCATTTATTATTGTTTGGAACATCAAAATTCAAATATAAAATTTTATATGAAGCAAATTATGATAAGCTTAAAGACCAATTTGTGTTTGTATAATCAAATTGACATGTCTTATTAACAAGTTCAAAAAGACCGAACATCAAAATTCATAATAACAATTACAGATAAGATGGTTAGATATAAAACTAATTTCAGCAATATAAGACCTATCAAGTTGCTTTGAGTTTCAATTTGTTATCCTTTGGTATCTGCATGTACAGAACACTAGGTTTTATACCTAGTAATGTTGCATGTAGATCTTATGCCTATTACCCTTTGCAATTTAATTTAAATTTTCCCATGGTGTTAAATTATTCATTAATTTTGATTTTAAATGGAAATACCGTTCTTTTAACCTTTTAAGTGTTGGAAATTTTTTGCCACATCCACTTTTATGCTTAGGAGATGTATATGTTGCCTGATGCCTTACTGATTTGTTCATTTTAGCATTAATACTTATGTATTGTTGTCTTTTTATTGCAGCTTATAGCCGTTGCACGAAAAAATAATCTGGTGAGTAGTTTATTCACTAATACCTCCTTTTGGTTACTAATATATTTTTTGGGCTTTTCCAAAATAATAATGTCTGCTTATGAAGCACAGGTTGAAATTATTAATCCTTTGAATGGACATTCTCTTGCTGCAATCAAAGTTAGCGAATCTAGTTCCGGAGGCCTTTCTGTTGAAGATGATCCAATTGTTGGATTGCACCTCTTTAAGACAAAGAGAAACGAGTTATCATCCAAGTAACTTATTCACTTTATATTCAAGATTACATTTTGCCTCTAGTTCCAATTCCTATACATGTCGTACTACACGTATTACTGTTATTTGCTTCATCGCTATACTCTTATAAACTATAGGAGTTTTCCCAATTACAATTATGGGACTACAAGATACAATAACATCTGTGGTACTAGCATTTCTGTTCATAAAGTATTCCCTTGTAAAGTACTTTTGCTTCAATTCCGTGGAACATCAGCCCAACAATATAAATTGCTTATAAAGGTTAGTTGTCTTAATACCACTGCTAGCAATCATGTATTTGCATCATTTTGTGTTGAGTTCCATGCATTTTTCTTTCTCAGCATAACATTTATGCTGTTTAAAAATGATTTACCCTAGAAATGCCTGTTTGATGGGAGTAGGGTGCAAGGAAATTATGGCTGGGGTATAATTCCACTTTTTTCTCTTGCTATCTATATCTTGTAATTCCTAGAGGTTCGAGTTCTGAGATACTAGTTATTTAGTGAGATACTACTTTGTATGTATATGATTATATATGGCCTTCTCTTTTGTGGTGTGGTGGAATTGTGTTTGAAACAGTGTTTTAAATATCGGCCGACATGTCCGACATGTCGGCCGATATAGCGGATCGAGGTGTCGAGCGACACAAATCGGGGAAATATAAGTCGCATATCGTTTTTCGGCGACATATCGGTCATATCGGCGAAAAATCGGACATATCGGCCGATTTTTCCTGTTTGGAAAATCGGCCGAGATTTATGAAAATCGGTTCAGCCTTAATGGGTTAGGTTTGGGTTAATTGAAACGATGATTTGCCCTCTTTTCGAACCCGATAGACACCCCAACAGCCGATTTACACCCGATCAAAAGAAAAAAAAAAAGAAAAAGGCGAAAAATCGGACATATCGGCCGATTTTTCCTGTTTGGAAAATCGGCCGAGATTTATGAAAATCGGTTCAGCCTTAATGGGTTAGGTTTGGGTTAATTGAAACGATGATTTGCCCTCTTTTCGAACCCGATAGACACCCCAACAGCCGATTTACACCCGATCAAAAAAAAAAAAAAAGGAGAAAAACAACGATCAGAAGAGAAAAGAAGAAAAACCCCTAGGGCTCGCTCGCGACTGGGAACCAGCAGCCTCCTCTCGTCGTTTTTGCCTTCGTGGTCTCAACAACAGTAAAACCCTAGGGCTTCTCCTCTCTCTCCTCCCAGCGACATAGAAATCCGAAGCTCTTCTTTCTTCTGCGCCATCGGAGCCGCCTTCTCATCTCTTTTTTCCCCGCGCCACCATCATCGGAGGGTCCTCACATCGTGCTCTTCAGCCCTCTGGTAAGCCTCTGACCTCTCTCTCTCTCTCTCATTCTGATTCTATGTTTTGGGATGTAGATGGAAATAGTGAAGCTAATCTCTCTCGGTAGTCGGTATTCATTTATTTTCTTATTTTTTGATGGGTTTGTGCTAACTGCTAAGGTTCTTAACTTTCCCTTTTTTTTCTTTTTACTCTTCTTTCTTTTCCTAAATTATCATCATAAGTTTCTTTTTGTATCTTAGAGCAAATTGTGGACAAAAAGTAATTAATTAGTTCTTTTGGATTAAAAGTAAAATTATCTCGTTACAGTTTTTTATTTTTCAGGATGAATCTCTTATTTTTTTTATTTTATTTTTCAGAGATGGATAACTTCCCTTTGAGTTTTTAAATGATGGGAAAGCTTGCATAAATATTTTTTTATATCTTTACATTTTAGCTCTAACTTGATTTTTTTTCTCCTGCAATTTCAGTTTGTGCCGAAGGGCTTCTGTTGCTGACTGCTAACTTGATTTTTTTCCTTGCAGCTTCAATTCGTGCCAAAGGGTTTATGCTGCTAACTGCTAAAAACTTCATCAAAATCAATAAAATTTTAGTTTTCCCCTTCAATCTTTTTAATATCCCCCTTCTTTTCGGTTTTCCCCTGTCAAATAAATGTCAAATAAAATTAATTTGAAGTTAGTAATTGAATTATAAAATTGAAATGCAACAAATTCAAATAAATGTAATCGGTAATTGGATGTTAAACAATTTAGGAATGCTTAGATTACATTTAGGACATGATATTATACATATGCGGATCACCCGATATGACAATCCGATATTTAGTCCATGTCCCCCGATATATCCCCGATTTCCGCTATCCGACATGGATTTCAGCCGTCCGACATGAACCCGACATCCGATATTTAAAACCTTGGTTTGAAATATAGTTTACCCGATTGGGTCCTGTAGATAGGATTGTTACAATTTTTTGACTTTCGGATTAATTGCTTGAAATCACAGTTTGGGAAGCTGAACCATTATCCTGAATGATTCCTCAGACCACTTATCACTTTTATATTTGGGGATTTGAAATTAGTTAGAATTCCTATAGCTGTCTCAGTCAAGGTTTTAAAAAAAAGCTTGCTTCACAACTTTGTGAAGGGTAAATGCTTTGAAACTCAAGGGCGAAGCTATTTATCCCTTGAAGCTTATGCCTCATCGCTTAAAGCATAATTGAAGTGTGTGCTTCGCGCTTCATAAAACGCTTTTCTTTTGAAGCGCATGTTTTAGACAAGATAGGAGGATATAAAAGGATTTTTGATTAAACATTAAAATGCCGCTATGTATTATCAATATGACCATGTGAGAGTGAATAAAATATATATGTTACAAATTTAGCTTAGTTTATTATGATTAGTTTCTATACTTAACATATTTAATTTTTATTTACTAATTAGGACATGAATATATATATATATATATATATATAATTTATTGTACCATTATATATTATATGTTCATAATTTTTACAAATATAAAATTAAAATTCTTAAACTCATGAAGCTTATGCCTCATGTTTTGAAGCTTACGTCACGCTTTCTTTAAGGGTCTAGCGCTTCGCTTTGCGCTTACGCTTTTTTAAACATTGGTCTTGGTCTAATTTATTAGTAAACCGACTTCAAATATCAATACATCAAAAAAAGTATAATTTAAGAGATATTATGTAGAAATAAGGTTTTAAATCTATACTATATATTAAAAACATAGTAGGCATAGGAAAATTTAAAGGACAATATCATTCCACTAAAGACACGGGAGCAATTTTATCTTTTCACATGAATGTTAAAATTTTCACACTTCCCTATACACTCTCCCTCACAATTAAATTTACACATCGGTTACCTAACAAGTTCAATTTTAAAACTTTAAAAATAAACATTTTGCGAAGAGATTGAAACCCATTGAGTTATTTGTGCAGCATAAACATTTCAAATATAAATTACAATATAATAAATAAATTCAATTACAATTAAAAGTAGGAATCTCATATTTTCAAGAGAACTTTTTTGTATATCAAATGCGGCCTTAATTTTTTTTCCTCTAAAATTCCAAATGGTAAAGCAACAAGTACTGAAATTAAAAATTTTAAAATAAACGATGGACTCAAAATACAAAATTAAACCATATAACATTGCCATTTATAATTACAAATTACAGAACTTGATACCTTAGTTTAAATTAAAAATCTATTTATTATATATATATATATATATATTTGATAATAATGTAAAATATAGAAACATAAGTTTTAATATCTGCATGTGCATTTGCATGTGCAAAGCTATTAGTGTCAATTATAATCATGTATAAGCATTATTTTGTGTTGAGCTCCATGTATTTTTCTTTCTTGGCATGGCATTTATGTCTATTTAAAAATGATTTACCTTAGAAATGTCTGTTTGATGGGGTAGGGTGCAAGGAAAGGTTGGGTGGGGGGATAATTCCACTTTCTTCTCTTGCTATCTAGATCTTGTAATTCCGAGAGGCTCGAGTTCTGAGATACTAGTTATTTAGTTTTATACTACTTGGTATGTATATAATCATATACGGCAAGCTGGATGTAATGCTTGCCTTTTGTGATGTGGTGGAATTATGTTTGAAGTACACTTTACCCAATTCTAGGCCATCAAGATGGGATCATTACAATTTTTTGTCTTTCGGATTAACTGCTTGAAATTGCAGTTTGGGAAGCTGAACTGTTATCCCGAATGACGCCTCAGAGGCTTAGACCACTTTTTACTTTTAAATTTGTAACATCAATAAATCACAAAAAGTATAATTTAAGAAATTTTTTGTAGACATAAGGTTTCACATATCAATTATAAATCTAGTTTGGTCTTGATATTTGTGGAAGAAGCAATTATCAAGTATCAGCTAGAACCCATGGGTTTCAGTGAATCATTATTTCAAATGAATGTACAAAATCATGATAGAAAGTGACCAGAGGGAAAAGGAGAAACAGCGAGATAGGAGAGGATGTATATTATTTTCTAGAGAAACATATGATCTTATATGTTGAACAGCTGAACTGCTGCTAGCTTATCTCTATTTAGGAATTGTCTTTCACAAGAGATCTGTCTTGCAGGTCTAATGTGCTCCTTATATGTACGGAAAAAGGAAAAGCAAGCTTGAGGCCTATTGCAACAACAAATGCATCACTAACCACAGCTACTGATTCTCAAAGTACGTGGACTGTTAGCGCTGCTGGCAAAGTTATCTGTTCTGCAGTGACTGCAAATGAGAAATATGCTTTATTTGGAGGGTAGGTCATCCATAAATCTTGATAAAATAAATACTCAATGAAATATCTTTATACCTAGGTGTAAGTTTCTTCTTTTAAAGGCAGTGGCATCTTCTCTTTTACCTCATTTACCTCTTGTTTTATTTCTTAGGAAGGGGATTGAACTGAACGTTTGGGATCTCGATAACTGTAGTAAAACCTGGACATCAAAAGCTGTGAGTTATCTCATTCTTATATCCGTGATGATTTTCAGAGGTTTGATACTCTTTCTTGAAGTAAACTCAGAATTTTCCTACTCTTTGACTTTTTGCCCCTTTACAGCCTCCACGTAACAATCTCGGTTTATTCTCTCCAACTTGGTTCACTGCCGCAACATTTCTTAGCAAAGAAGACCATCATATAATTGCAGCTGGAACAAACAATCATCAGGTACTGACATGGTCTTCTCAAAGTTTGCCAATAGCAGTTCTTGTTTGAAGCCAAGCCGTCATTGATCACTGTAGCAGTTCTTGTTTGAAGCCAAGCTGTCATTGATCAGTGTATCACTAATAAGAAATATCATGTAATGGGCTTTGGGCTCAAATTCATGCAAAGTTGTCAAATTTTTCCTCAGCTCTTTGAGCTTATTAGGTTCAAGCAGTAGTTAGCCACTACACAGTCATTTAATAACAAGCGCCACCTCTTTGTATTATGCTTGTAGAAAACTCTTATGCAAACATGTGGCTCACCATGCTTTTATTAGATGGATTGCTTGCCACACTCATATCTTCTCCCTTTCCTCCATGGTCATTTCATCCATATTTACACAATATGCAGTACGTAGCAGGTCGTGGTATGAATTTAGGGACGCAATTCGCCACGATGAAAATTTGGACTCCAGGGGTAGCTTGCTTTGGTATGCAAGTTTGGTCAGTGGTATGTTGTATATTTTTTGGGTGCGCTTACCATTTTCCAAAGTGTATAGTAGAAAACTAGAAACTAGAAAGCTAATTATGCATTTCAATATTTTTTTTCATACAAACTATTTCAATGCTTCTTTTTTAAGGAGTTTTTTTTTTCTAATTTTCTTTTCACATAGTTTGTGTTAGGATCATAGTTTCATTTTACGTTTTGTTAACATAGGTACTTAGTTACTGTAAAGTTATTGAATCATATATTCTATTTTGTGCTCCCTTTCACTTGATTGTGTACATAGCGTTGTGTCTTGCGCATGCACACTTTAAAGGGACTTTGCGGCCCACATACTTGTAAGCGGTATGCCAATTTTGGGGAACCAATTCGTGTATCGGAGGGAATGAGTTCGCAAATGTATCGGGAGTGAGTTCGTAGGAATTGTACGATAGTTCGAGGGGGGTTCAGCGAATCACGCAACTATGGTTTCATCTGGTTTCTGAAATGCCTAGTTGCCACCTATTTGTAATTGTTGTGCAACAGGAGGTGACTTCCCTCTTGAACAAAAAACAGTATCCGTTGATTTAACCATTTAGTCATCTTGTTGGCCTCTGATATCTTTAACATTACTCAGGTGCTTTACCTCATTACTAGTCAACTCAAATGCTTGGCATGTTTTTGTTAATGAAACTTTTGATGTGCTCAATATTTAATATTTGCTTTTGAATCTAAGAGCCAAAATACTTGCCGCATATATTATCTAGATGGCAATCAGAGCGTACTGATTTTTAAATTTTATTGAGTTTATGCCTTTATTCAAACTATAGCACTTTACAAAGCTGTGCTCTGTGCTATTTAATGTTTGTTGTTTGAGATCCCTATAATAATAGATTGTTATTTTTGTGGTACAACATGTTTTTAATAAACAAGTAGCAGATGACACCATCCTTTAGTATGTTTAATTTCAATTCATAAGGTATGTTTACACTTTCTGCAAAACATGTCTATATAATTAAAATTTGGATTTGGAAATTGAAATCATTGCATTAAATATCATTTCAAATCATTTCTGTAATTCTTTGGGGATTAGTTGAAGACTGAGTCCTTATTGATAAGCATATTCTGTAACAGGTCCGCCTTTATGATATTTCTGCTCAAAGAAGACCTGTTATATCAGTTAGTTTCAGAGAGACGCCAATTAAAGCAGTCACTGCAGATCCAGATGGTCATACTGTCTATGTAGGGACTAGTTCTGGGGATCTCGCTTCCTTTGACATACGAACAGGTATATTATAATTACATTTTATATTAACTATGTCCCTTATATGTTATTATGCAACTTTTTTCTCTGCTACGTGATGACTGATACAACCACCACCACGAGTGGTTTGGTGGAAGTTTGCAGACCCAAACAGATGCTATACCTGAATGTTTTATGTGTTAACTAATTCGATATATTTTCAAGTTTATACCAGTGCTTAAAACGGCTCAATCAGGGCACACCTTCAGGAAATGTTGTAAGGTGGCACATATATGAGGCTCACAGGCCATGAGGTGTCACTTTATCATATGAGGAACAACTGAAGTGTGCCTATCACACCTCATGTTCACCCTTTACACGAGGCATGTGCTTCACAAAACTGACAGAAAAATGGTACTGATTGGAAACATATGATTCGATAGATGTGACACATCTAAGGGCTAGATCTTAGAAGGAAAGAGTGAAGTCATCTATAATTTGAACTTTTGGTAAAAGTGTCTATAATCACCTCAACATCCACTTAATTTATTCTTATGTTTTGTTCTTTATAATATTTATAACTTTTAAAAATATGAGTAAAGAAAAATTCTTGATGCATATTGCATATGGCTCATCATATAAGTCAGTTTTGCTAAACGCATTCATTTTTTTAACCATTGCTCTATACATGATTCTTGGAAACTTAGAGTAGACATGCGACAATCCAAACATCTTGTTCTTGTTATTTCTTTTCATAATGGTGAAATATGTATTTGTGTGTCTGTGGCAATTATAATTTTAGTCATTCTTTTTTTGTATTGGCACATGTATACATGGCTTGAAGTGATTGTTGTGGCATTTCCTCTGTCCTGGTCATAATTTTCTAGTACATGGAATAGTCTTTCCAGCTCTTGATACTTTTTTTATTTACTTCTTTTATCATACTGCTCTGGCTGTTGAGAATTACTTTCTCCAATCATTTATATACTATGTGAAACTTGGATTGCAAGGACACAGGTTTCATGTTTTTGACGATAACAGACGGTATTCTTTCTTGCACATTTCGTGGAGTTTGGTTATCATGATAAATACAAGCAGAGAATATCATTTAATCTTTAGCATGGAAGTCCTTCAGTTATTTTCCTTAATAATAGTGAGAGTTTATCTAGATATTCTTCTAGATTGTTATATTATTAAGGTTAATTGCACATAAAACCCCTGTAGTATCATGCTTTGGAATTTATAATTCTGTGCTTTGATTTTGGCACATAGATTCATTCGGTATTTTTTTTCCGAATCATTTCAACCTTAGTGAAAGTTTAGCAGATATTGCTCTTAGAAAATATTAGTATATCTGAGGGTAAAAAGAGTAAAAAAAAAAAAAAATCTCATCGAGGGTCTATCGGGTAAAATCAATCTACAACTTTTCATAAGTTCCAAAGCGCGATACTACAGAGGGTCTACGTGCTTAGCCCTAATTATTATCTGATTTTGAAGTTGGAATTAGCTACTAAAATTGACAATATGAATGGTGTTGTTTGTTTAACTACGAAGTCAGGGACAATTCTGTAAAAGCATGTTCTGTATTTGCAGGTAAATTATTAGGGTGCTTCATTGGCAAATGTTCTGGAAGCATTAGGTCCATAGCGAGGCATCCGGAGCTACCGATAATAGCTTCATGTGGTCAGGCTAATACCTTTTTTTATCAATATTTAAAGCTATAGTATTATATATAGCCTTTTTCTATTAAAAAAGTATATCACGTAGTTGGAGCTTAAAAAATTAGTATGTACTTGCTTATATCTTCATTAGTTACTTATTTCAATAATCTAAGCTGTATATGCTCATGATGCAGATTATCTTTTTTGATAGGGCTATGCTAGTTTGAATTTATTGTTACTGCCTTATTGTTCATCCATGATTTTAAAAATTTTCTCTCTGTAGGCACGCTCAGGTGAGTGTATTATTATTGTATACACATGGATTATGCTAAATGAATTTATTGATATATTTCTTTGCCAAGTAAAATATGCGGTATAATGTTGACCTCAACTAGTTTGAAACACAGGAATATGGAAAGGTATACTGTAGTTAGAGGTAGGAGTAATGTAGACCTATAAGCTAAATATATCCTTTTGTTTGTTTGTGACAAAGATGGACACAAGTATCTAGTAAAAAACAGAACAAGATATCTATCCATTGGTTTTGATTTCTCAGGGGGTCAGTGCAATCCAATTTTCAAGGAGATCTGTTTGTTAATCCAACACAGTAGGTTTATTGTTTAGGTAGGATGCTGAAGCGATGGTTCTATTTTCTTTTCGTGGTCTGTATCTTGAGATTCTTAACTTCATTGGAGGAGTTATATTATGTGCCAGTTTGGTTTAGCACTTGTTGCTCTTAATCTATATATGGTCCAGTTACCATTTGACTTCTGTTCTTAAATACTAAATCAAATATTTGGCTCAGTTCTTTTGTTTATCCTAATGGTCATGGATCTGAGAGAGAGAATTGTTTCTGCAGGTCTTGATAGATATTTGCGAATTTGGAGTACAGAGACCAGGCAACTCCTTTCTGCAGTATGTTGATGAATTTTCATATTTCAATGGATTGAATTAGATGAAAATAGAAATTTTGCTCAGTTAGAACTTCTATTATTGTAGTCATGACCAGTTCTTGTATGCATACTGATGAGTGGTTGGCTATACTCACTCGACTGCCACATGATCCTATTTCTATCATTGACACTCTTATTGTTTTAATTACAGGTCTTCCTCAAACAGCATCTCACAAATGTATCAATTGATTCACATTTCTCCTATGAAGGTCTGCTTCTTATTTATGAATCCATTGCATGGGTACTTCTCAATTTTATTATTATTATAGAAAGATGTCTTTTTGCTCATATTTAATAGGTTTAAGTCTTTGCTGCTTTCTTCTTTCATATAGATTTCCTTGTAGTGGGTGAATATATTTGAGATAATTGACAAGCTATATAGCATTAGGTCATCTTTGGCAACTTCTTAATGGTCCAAATCTTATTATCATTTGATAATCAAAATGCTACAGTCATTCTACCGACCATTTATCGTAACATTTTTAAATTCAACAGGACATAATTATAGAGAATCTTACGAAGTAACGGTCAACTGCTTATAACATTGACACGTACATGCTTTCATTTGTGCTGTTAGTTTTAAGACTCCTAATCCTATGTAGCTTGTCAAATATCTAGTGAACTGTTGCCAATAGATTTCTGTAAGATTATGCATTCTGTGACCAGGCTCTTCATGTTTTTTCTCTTATCTCAAATATTCTCAAGTGTTGAGTTTTCTCCTTTTCCTTCTCAGTCACTTGGTTTTGTAACTCAAGTAACAGTTACAGAATAAACTATCACAATCACACCATCAGATGACCTAAAAAACGGTGCACTATAACATCATTTCCTTAAGAAATTTGACCTTTCCAGAAATTTCATGTTGCCTGGAATCACAATTAGGCACTCGTATAATTTGGTTGTGCATATGTACTTAACGGGCAATCCCTAATTGTATAAAAGATTCATAATGTAAATTATAACCTCCTTAGAATATCAAACAAGAATCAGTGGTTCTCCATATGGATTTCAATTTGATTTAATCTGAAGTTTACTCTCCAGGACAACCCCAGATCATGTTGGTGCTCGATACTAATTCCTGATGCAAATGAATATAACCCTTTTTTGATGGACCAATGTGTACATGTTAATGTGCTTATTTTGTTACAGAACCAGCTGGTTCTGCTGATCAACCAAACAATGTGAAAGCGGTTGAACATACTGAAGCTGATAACACTGACGATGACCACGACGACGATGAGTTGTTCTTCAAGAAAAGCAAGAAACCAAAGATAAGGGAGAAAAACAAGGCAAAGAAAAATAACAAGCGAGCGCCTGAAGAGATAGCACAAGAAGATGATTCATTTAGCCTTAGCGAAGATGACACTGATAAACTGAAGGCTTTGAAAAGAAGAAAACCACCTGCAGAAGGAGAAGGGCGAACTAAAAAGATAAAGAAGAATAAGAGCAAGGGAGCCCAATACAATAACTGAGCTATAATTTAATCACATGTTAGTGCCATATCAGCAGCGCTTACCAAAGCTGCCATATTAACTTCAAATTTTGAACACGAGTTTTGAGCAAAGAGCAGAATGATGAAACTAGAAGTGAAGGGATAATGTCGGGGCTGCTCAAGTTGACTGAGACGGCAGAATGAGATCCACGGAAACAGCAAATCCAAGGCATTTTATAGTATTTTTGTAACTTGATTGTATTGTTTTTGTCCCAAAAACGACCAAAAACGAGTTTCTTGAAAAGCTCATTTATATGTTTATTTTTTTCTCTATTTTTTGTGACTCCTTAACCATGGTAATTGTATGTGCTTGAGAACACTTAAAGAGTTTGGTAAGAGGCCATGAGGCTTGACTTTTCTGTTCTGTTGATATACCCTTTTTTTTTGTATGGTAAAAATTTTCAATACAAAGTCTCTGAGAATGCTTGTACGTATGTCAAATTAAACTATTAACCTCTTAGTTCAGGAACATAGCAATCTAATTTGAAAGCTAACATGTGAGTGGAATGTTTTGAGCCATACAAGTGGACATTGAAATCTCTATATTGTCCCAAATAAAGTTTTAATGTTGTATTTATCGGCGGTGTTCTTTTTCTTCTGATTTTTCATCCCTCTGTGTATCCTTTTCTTGTGGAGCAAGGTAAGGCCTAGATGAAATGTCACCTTATATCAGATAAATTGTTGATGTGAATGTTAAGCTTTATCCAAACCAAATATGACTTTTGTACAAACTCAACTCTGTATGCTACTAACTACAAACTCAACAAAATTTTAAACATATAGATGAAACCTGAGAAAAGTTAAAAAATAAAAAAAGAACTTATATAACTCGGTTGGCAAAATTGGGTTGTATGTTAGAACAAACTACACCAAAGCACCGAAACTATCTGAGCACTAAAGACAGAAAGATGAACCCCGGTGCCAATAGTTGTAGGAAGAGCATAAAAAATTTCAAAAGTTTATATCCTAACAAAAATTATTGGTGGGGACAGATTTAAAACACATCTCACAAGGACAGTTGTCCATTTAATGCACATCTCCAACATGTTTTAGGGGGTGTTACTCATTTGGAATTGTTTGATTCGACTAGGACGATTGTTCAAGAATGAAAGAATATAACAAGAACTTAAGGAAATACTAGTTAAAAATAGTAAAACACGTTATAAAATTTCCTACCACCAATGACACTTGCAAATTTACAACCGGAAACATGCCATAAAACACTAACCATAGTGTGTGTGTGTGTTATATATCATTAGAAAGAAGATATTTTGCCCCACAGACCAAGAAGTTAAACCATAAACTTCAAAGATTTAATAGATTTTATTCAAATAAGACAAGGTACAATTTATTCACTTCAATCAAAAACAGACACCAAAACAACTCTAAAAAAGTTTACAAGGGCTACATTTATTTAAATTTCAGATTTTATATCATCATTATTTTTTAGTAGCCATAAGTTTGTCTCCTTTAACACTTGAGAATTTTTGAGAACCATTTGAGAGAAGCCTTAGGGTAACGTTCCACGTTATCTTTGAAGTCCACATAGGTGAGCCCAAATCTAACAGTGTAGCCACTGTTCCATTCATAATTATTCATTAGAGACCATGCAAAATATCCTTTCACATTCACTCCCAACCTTGAAAACAAAAAATAAAAACTTATTAGTAAAATATTTCTTAAATAAAAATTCTTTAAATAGTTGTTGAAAGCTTCTCAAATACTTACTTGATGACTTTTCTAACTTGAGCCAAGTGTAGTGCATAATATCGAATTCTAGCTTCGTCATCCAAAGTGTTGATGCTCGTGAACAAACAGTCGATGGGAGTTGTCCGCAGTAGGATGCAGCTTCGATCCTGACGGCACTGAGGAGAAGGGAGAGGATGGATATTGGGACCGACTCCTCCTCCGACTTTACGCCCGATTCTGAGCGCGCGGGGTGGGCTGATGACCTGCATATGCAAGAATCGCAGGAGTACGGGGCTAGTTTCCCCCGTTGTACCTCCGATGGTCAAGTCAGCTGTGGAGCTTGAGTGGGGTTTGGGGGAAGGTCCTCGGGCCATTGAGGTCCTCGGAGCGTACTCTTTTGAGAGTTTTCTAGTTCTTTTTTAACCAAGGTAGGTTCCTGGTTTTTTATGAAGAAGAAGTAGCCAAGCCAAAGAATCACTTACCTCCTGCGTTCCTCTTTTCTCCTCCTTTTATAGTCCCTTGCCTCTGGGTGTGTTGTCCCTCGGCTTTGGTCATACACAGGAGGCGGCTGAGAGGTGAGCAGTAAAGGTGTTGAGTCATCCTTCTCCTTCCAGATGTCGACTGGTAACTGGAAGGGAAGTCATTCGAATACGGGAGAGAAACGGCTTCTCTGTATCCTGTATTTGATAGAAGAGGTAGGGTGCAGGATAGGTCGGCTGCGTGGCCGTACTTCTCTCTCTAGGTGGTGGCTGGTGATTGGAGGAGAAGTCATTCGTGCACAGGGAAGCATCATGGCAAACTTCTGGGAAATGACTTGTGAGTAGAATAAGCGGCTTGGGCACGAGGTTTGTTAGAATGGATATCTTGATGGGACTAATCAATACTGTTGTCAATTGATATCTGAAGTGAACTTGGTCGGCTCTTATACCTTTAGTCAAGACGGGTTGATCTACGAGTCATCATTATGGTTTGGCAACCCGATAGTCGAGTGAGCTTCGGGTCTGGTGTATAGTCGAGTCCTCTGCTCGAGGAGTCGTCTTAATTACGAGGGGGTGACTGATCCCGCACTTCGAGTCGGTCATGATGATCCTTGATCGAAATATGACTTGTCTGCTCATTTGGTCGAGAGACTTGACCTTGGCTGGGCTTATGAGCCTCTAAATTGGTTTGGACCATAGCTTTCTTGGGCTTATGCAGACATTCTCTCGACACCTCTATCTTTGGATGGTAAATTACCATACCAAAACAAAGCTCCCTCAAGTAGGGCTGTCCATTTACCGCTGGCCCCGGGCCCGACCGGCCGCGCCCGGGCCCGGCTCGGCCCGCGAAAACCGGGCCAGCCGTTCCGCGGCCCGGCTCGCGGTGGCCTCAGCGGCGGCCCGGCCCGGCCCCGGTACAGTGCGCCGCCGGCGTCAACGCCCGGGCCGGGCAGCCGGGACCGGAGCCCGCCCTGGTGGCAACGGTCACCAGTGTGACCGTTGCCGCGAATTAGGCCGGCCGTGGCCGGCCGGCCCCGGACCCGGAGGTCACAACGGTCACCCATGGTGACCGTTGGTGAAAACCACCAGGCCGGCCCGACCCGGCCCACAACGGTCACCAAAAAGGTGACCGTTTGTGCCGCCAAAACGCCCGGATTCACGGCATAAGTGACCGTTGTGGCCGGGTCGGCCCGTCCCGGCCCGGTAACAACGGTCAGATTGGCCCTTTGACCGTTTTGCCCTCAAAAACGGTCAAAAAACGGCTATTTTGTGAGGTTATTTTGGTCATTTACCTAGGGGGCTGGTTCTATAAATAGAGGGGGGTTTTCATTTGTTTTCTTCACACCAAAAACTCATCTCTTCTCTCTTATACTCTTATACTCTCTCTTATACTCTTATACTCTCTTATTTATACTTTCTAATCCAATCCCCAAATGGCTTCCGGATCTGATTATGAAGAGCAAAACATATCTCCCGATCCTGAATTGAGTCCTCCTACTATGAGTCCTCCTACTATCAGTCCTCCTACCGAAGTTAATCCCGAATCCGGTGGCGACGAATCTGCACCAAGAGCTCCTAAACGGCCAAGATCCGATGTGTGGAATTTTTACGAGAAGATCGACGTCACCAAGGATGAACACGGTAGGATCCTCACCCAGAAGGCTAAGTGTGCTTTGTGCGGCAAGATTTTTCAAGCTCATCATAAGAGCGGCACCAACCACCTCAAACGCCATTTAGATAAACACAACAAAGGCCAGCCTCCTCAAGGTGATATCCGACAATCCATGATTTCTCAATCCTCCTCTTCTGGTAGTCTCGGTAGTTGGAACTATGACGCTGCCAGAGCCAGGAAATGCGTAATCAGGTTTATCATTCTTAAAAACCTTCCTTTTAAATTAGTAGAAGATGATGAATTTGAAGATATGTTTAGAGATGGTTTTTATCCTGCATTTAAAAAATTTTCTCGTCAAACCTGTCAACGTGATATTTTAAAATATTATCAGCAAGAACAAGAAAAAATAATTTCTTATTTTAAAAATTTAAACTGTAAATTTTCTTTAACTTCTGATATTTGGACATCTAGAGCACAAACTGGATATTTATGTATCACAGCACACTGGATTGATGAAAATTGGCAAATGTTTAAAAGAGTTGTTTCTTTTATTGCAATAGAAGAGTCACATACTGGTGCTAATGTTGCAAATTTAATAATTGAAGAACTTATGAAATTAGAAATTTCACAAAGAATATTTTCTCTTTCACTAGATAATGCAAGTAATAACAATGTAGCTGTTGATTTTATCAGATCATCTTTATCATTGCCATGTCATGGTGATCTTTTTCATATTAGGTGCATCTGTCATATTTTAAATTTAATTGTTCAAAGTGCATTTACTGAAATTAAACCCATGATAGAAAAGGTTAGAACAGTTGCTTACATGCATAGTGCTTCTGAACAAAGACTTAAAAGATGGAAACAATTTTGTAAAAGAAAAAATGTAAAGCCTAGACTAATTCCAAAAGATGTTGACCATAGGTGGAATTCCACATATGCAATGTTAAGTGTAGCAATAGAATATAAAGACATTATAACTGATTTTATAAACTATTATGCTTCTAGTTCTAGTTCTGGTAGCACTTATGGAATAACTGAAGATGAATGGACAGTTATATGTAATTTAAATGAAATGTTACAAGTTTTTTATGATGCTACCATGTTATTATCTGGCTGTTATTATCCAACCATTACTTTAGCTGCTTTACAAATTTTAAATATTCAAAATTTTTTTGATAAATATCGTTTGGATGCTACTTTTGTACCTATGGTTTTTGAAATGGAGAGCAAATTTAATAAGTATTTTAGACCTATTCCTCATATTTTTGGTTTGGGGGTTCTTATTGATCCATGCTTGAAGGATATTTGCCTTCGAAGTTTGTTACAGTCATTGTATGGTGGGCAGGTTATAAACTTAGATGATGGAACCACCCTGAATGCTACTACTCATCATTTACTTATTAGAAATTATTTTCAAACTTTATATGATGAGTATGCAGCTAGACATGGTGTAGCTGCACAACAGTCTGCAGCTTCGGTTTCTTCGAGCTCATCCCGAGCCCGAGGTAAAAGTGTAAGTTTTGATAGGTATGCAATGGTAGCCGAGCTAACTGGTGGATCTGGACTTGGATCGTCATCATCGGAGGT